GACCATTAGAAAGAGGATGAAATGCTGCATCGAATGCTACAAGATCTCTTGAAAATTTTGGTTGCGCGAGATGTGGCGTTTATTTGAAAAAAAGGAACATTACTTTTGGAACGACCTAATTTAAGCAACGTCTACAACAAGATATTTTCCTCTTTAGAACCAGCAGTTTAAGAAGGGAGTGGAACTTTTGAAACAACTTAACATACACATGGCACGCATAACTTTTTAAAGATTAGGCCAATGGTCCATCAGTATATCATATATCTGTACGAGTGATAATCTGTTGGAGCTTGCTATATCGTGCAACGACTAAATTGGCGCGAGGTACCTACTCAGGGCCATGGGTCCTCTAAGACTTTAAGGTATTACTTACCGTAACTGTGCGTCCGCCAGCTATCGCTATGAGGAATGGCAAACCAAATCCAATTAGAAGGTCTAGAAAAGTACTGATTTTTGTAATGCTTTTTATTTCACGAATGGCGCACTGAATAGTGGTCCACCGATTGCAGCAGCCATTGCCATTCGAGGGTAACCTTGCTTCACCACAGAGATATCCGCGATTAAATCGCCGATACTGTTGCTCCAAGCCAAAATGGTCAATCCCAAAACCTGAAGCAAAATCATCACCTGGCAGAATTGAGGAATTTGTGCAAAGTAAAGATTTGAGGTCTCGTGTAATTAGACCATTATTATGAAAAACCTACGACGCCTACAACAGCTTCGCACTTCCATTTCTTCGCCTAATTGATGCAAAAAGGCAAATAATCTTTCAAACAGTCGTTCTTCAAAATAGTCTTTGTATCATTACCAAGTAAGCGGCCGTGAAAACCACGCGCTATGCCTTCTCACATACAAAATTTATAGGTTGAAAATAGCGCTTTTATAAGCAACAATGATTAGCCGATATGTTCTCTTCACCTTAATTTTTGAGCCCCCTCAGGCGACTATCCTGCAAGCAGATGTTTTCTGTCAATTACATCACCCTCATTCCAAATTCAAAAATGGAATTTGCTCCTTCAGGTAAGAGGCTTCTGAGCGCTTTCCTATCAGAACTTTGTGACGAAACACAGCCTAATCTGGCGATAAATTTGCCGCTACTGACGCCATCGTGTTAGAAGATAGTGATTACGAGCAGATAAACTATGAAATGATTTATGAGCGCTAAGTAAGATGTCACATGGTTACCGCCCACTCAAAGTTCCAAGTTTGCAAGCAGAAATAGGTGATGCCACAAACTTTGCATGAGTCTTGTGGTTTGGAATTGGATCCGATTACAAATGCTCTTACAAAATTAAGCTAAACTATGTATTTTGAATAAGTGAAAAGCGACACAAGTTTTTGCGAATAAGGAAGAGAGAGTTAGTTCTTCGTAATTTTGCAATGCCGAATAATGCTTATAAAGTTGATTTTTTCCTAAATCCAAAAAAAT